AGGGACTGAAACTATTCTCCTTGAGAATGGAAATGAGAGAAGGATGCCTTCTATCTCCACTTCTAGTCAATATTATATTGGAACCTGTAGCCAGGGCAAGAAGGCAAGAAAGGGAAATCAAAGGCATCCAAATAAATAAAGAAGAAGTAAAACTATCCCTATCTGCATATGATATGATCCTATACATAGAAAACCTCAGAGATTCAGCAAGAAAACTACTAGAACTTATTGAAAGATTTTCATAGTGGCAGGATAAAAGATCAACACACAAAAATCATTGGATTCTTCTACACCAGCAAGAGGTCTCTGAGAATAAAATAAGGAAATCAATCTCATTTACAATAGCTACCAAAATATAAGATACTTGGCAATGAATCTGACCAAGAACACAAAAGACTTATATACAAAGAAAACTACAAAACACTACTTCAGGAAACTATAAGAGAGCTACGTAAAAGGAAGAACATACCATGATCATGGATAGGAAAATTGAACACTGTGAACACGTCAATACTACCCATAGCAATCAATACATTTGATGCAATTTTAATGCATATTCCATCAGCATTCTTTAAAGACATGAAAAAACCAACAACCAATTTTATATGGAAAGGAAAGAGACCTTGAATAAATAAAACACTATTAAAGAAGAACAAAGTAGGAGATCTCACATTTCCAGATCTTAAAACCTACTATACAGCCACAGTCATCAAAACAGCCTCACACTGGTACAATGACAGACACATAGACCAATGGAACAGAATTGAAAACCCAGAAATAGATCCATCAACCTGTGGTCAACTGATCTTTGACAAAGTGCTGAAATCCACTAAATGTGGGAAGAGATGGTCTCTTTTACAAATTGTGCTGGAAAAACTGGATATCCATTTGCAGAGAAATTAAAGAAGACCCATAACTTACACTATACACAAAAACTAACTCCAGATGGATCAAAGACTTAAATGTGAAACCTACTATAAAGTTCATCAATCAAATTTAGAGGCCCTAATTTATAGCATAAATAGACTACCAAGCATAATCCAAGATGTGCAGACTTCAGGTGATAAACTAGATGATTGAGACTTTCTAAAAATTAAATTCTTATCTGCATCAAAAGTCTTCTCCAAAAGAGTGAAAAGAATGGGGGAAAAAAATCTGCAATGACATATCCAACAGAGGACTTATCTCTAAAATTTATAGAAAATGCCAACATCTCAACATCAAAAAGACAAACAATCCAATTTTAAAAATGGGCAGAAGATATGAATAGCACAAAGAAGATATTCAGAAAACCAAAAAACACATGAAAAAATGTTTGTGATCATTAACCATTAGAGAGATACAGACCAAAACAACCATGAGATACTGTCTCACCCCAGCATTAATAGCAAAGTTCAATAAGACAGAAAACAACAAATACTAGCAAGGATGTGGAGAGATTGGGACCTCATAAACTTTTGGCAGGGCTTTGAAATGATACAACCACTGTGAAAACTGGTATGGCAATTTCTTAAAAAGGTGAAAATAGAAATACCATTTGCCCCAGAAATCTCATTCCTAGGTATATATCCTGAAAAAATGAGAGGCAGGACACAAATAGATATATTCTTCCCACTTCTGTTCATCACATCACTATTCACAATAGCAAAGAGATGGAAACAACCCAAGTGCCCATCAACCAAGGAATGGATAAACAAACTGTGGTACATAAATACAACAGAATACTATGCAACCCTAGGGAATAATGTAGAATCTGCAAAACACCACATAATCTGGATGGACTTGGAGGACATTATTCTGAGTGAAATAAATCAGTCACAGAAAGATAAATATTGTACTAGTCCACTAACATAAAAAGTTAAGGAAAGGTTTATACATAGAAGGAAACTTTCTTTGTTGGTTACCAGAGATGGGAGGGGAGGGGAGGGAAAATACCTAGATAGGTTGAAAACACACACACACACACACACACACACATACCCCAAAGATATACCAAAGATTATTATTGGTTATCAGGGTAAGAGAGGGTAGGAGAGGGGGACAAGTGAAACTTTTGTTTGCTGGACATTGAGTCTATGTTAATGATGGTGGAATATTTTGGGAGAGGTTAGCAACAATCATGGCACAACATGAAAAATGTCATCAGTGCCCCTGAGGTGTAATTGTGGAAGTTGTTATGTTGACAATTGTCTTGTTGTATATGGTTTCACCACAGTAAGTTTTTTTAAAAAAAACAGGTTTGCTGCTCTAATAGAGCCTGGTAAGACCCCTGAGACTATGGTCCCTAGTTACCCTTCGAGTTTGAAACTGTGCTCACTCCTATGGCTTCCATTTAACCAATAGACAGGCATATGGGGTGAAGATTTACATCAGGTAAACATACTCCTTTGAGCGATCAATCACGAGAGGACAGAGGGGCAGTGTTCGCACACAGAGATAGCTTGGGAGGTGGGACTGCATGGGAGGGAAAGACATGGGGAAGAAGTAACTGGGGAGCAAGTGGGAAGAGAGCTGTTACATTGTGGGGAATTGCAGTCAATGTCATGAAACAAAATGTGTATGAAATGCTATATGGAAAATGAATTTGCTTTGTAAATGTTCACCCGGGTCACAATAACAATTAAAAAATAAAAAATAAAATGTCTATATAACTATAAAAAAAGATAGTTATAATAAAAGCCAATAATGAAAACTTGTCCCCACCAAAAAAAAAAAAAAAAATGAAGTATTAAACTTACATAAGAACTAACCGACTTATGATGGAGTTGTCAGAACAGAACCATATATATAGGTACTAACTGTATACGTTTAGACTAGAATAAATAAAAATAGTATGGTTAATATCCTATATAATTGGGAAATGTCTGAGATTGTGAAATGTCTGAGATTCTACACAAGACATTATCTGTTATAATTACTTCTATTCAATATTATATGGAAGTTTCTAATTAGTGAGTGGAGTATCTGGATGTTGGGTACAGTTAACATCCACGACTACAAACCAAATGCTGGAGATCAAAATCCACTCAGAGTTGCTGAGGATAAAAATGACAAAAAAATGGTGATTGAAAAACCCTACGGAGCACAGTTCTACTCTGGCACACATGGGATCAGCATGAGTCAGAATCAACTTGTCAGCAACTGGTTTTTCTCATATTATTTTACAGGTTAAGTATTATGAAGAAACTGAAACAGGTCAGACAGAGCTTACATGTGCGTGCATATTACAATTTACTGATGATATGATTATATGTTTACTATTCCAAGAGAATCTTCCTGAATAAGTATGACTTGTTATAAAATATATTAATTAAGGTCAAGAGCTTCTCTAAACACAAAAATATCAATCAGAGAATTAACGTATGTCAACATATCACATAGTGTTGTTAGCTGCTGTCAAGTTGATTGCAACCCATGGTAAAGCAAATTGTATTCCAGCACTTAACCATTTGCTCCACCAAAGAATTTCTAATGCACTATGTGGATTAGGCAAAGAACAACAAGGAAAAGAATGTTAAAAAAAAAAAAGGGGGAGTGAGAAGAAAATAATATCTGGAATAAACGTCTCTGTATCTGGATAATATTACAACCTTTCTTCTGAGGAGTGGCTGGCGGTTTGAACCGCCAGGCTCCTGGTTAGCAGTCAAGTGCCTTAGGCACTATGCTATCAGAGCTCCCAAATGAGAACTACAGAAAGAAATTCACAAAAGCAATAATAGGATATATTAAAACCAATAAATAAAAGAACAGCTTTATTTATCCAACCACCCAGCAAGAAGGTCATTTTTCCGCTTCCTACACCTCAGGTGCTATCTTTCTTAATCACAACAAATGTATTAATCATGAGCCCTGATGACTGTGGTGAAATCAGAAAATCCTAGAGTGCCTTTCTTGTGACCTTAGAAGGTCTTCCCAGTCATCTCTTACCCAACTTGCTGTGATTTTCATCTCTCTTTTCTTTTGACTGAAAGCAACACTTTCTTATCAGCCTTGAAAACCCTAATTTTGCATACTTTTAAAACATTTTCAGAGGAGTTGAAATGTTTCTTTTGCATAAAGTGATTTCAAAATTTCAGAGGCAGATATGTCCAAGTAAAATCCATTAAATCAGTGGCTTTTAATTGTGTGAACTCTTTTTGAAAGTCATTTGTGTAACCAAGTTCTTACAAAACATTGTCAGTAGACAGAACAAATAGTATGTCTAAGATGTGCATATTTTCCTGTTTCACAAATGAAGATAATTGCACCTGTAATTTATAAATTATAAACTCATTTAAGAATCATTGAATCCAGACTAATCTTTCTCACTATCTGTTCTCCTATTCAGTTGATATTAACCATCTACTATCTCAGACTCTTGGCACCCCATGTGTTACAGAGTGGAGCTGCTCCATAGTATTTCCTTGGTTGTCATCTTTACAGAGCAGATTGCCAGGCTTTTGTTCTGCAGCACTGCTGAGTGGGTTCAAACTTCTAACCTTTTGCTTATTAGTCAAAAGCAAACCATTATCACCATGAGTAGGATAAACACAATGACAATAACATTTTTTTTTTTTTTCTGTCAGAGGGAATTTGGTTAAGCAAAATATATATACACTTAAAAAGAAAAAAAGAAAAAAAACTCTCATACCCATATCTTTAGAAATTGTAGTAGGAAATTGAATCATAACTTTTTGTTTGTTCTCATTATTAGAATGGCATCTGGCTTTTGCTTGATGCCATCTTAATCTCTCTAAGGACAGTGTCCCTCCCATTGCCAATTTGTGGTCCTTTGCTAAAAGTTCATTATACAAGGATTCACTAGCAAATTTTGAAACTGGGTCACCAAGGATCATTTGTTTTATTTATTTAGGTGATCCCTGAGCACCTACAGGAGATTGAGCAGAGGATTATAAATAGGATTTTTAGAGCAAGACAGTGAATTCCCTGCTCAGAATCATACAGACGAAGTTCCTTTGATCTCCTCTCTTACATTAGACTTTTGTCCCTTCATGATTCAGATCAAAGAAAGTATTTCTAAAGTTTTAAATAAGGAAAAGTCTCTGAGAAAATTCTTTATATGGCGTGACAATGGGAGACAAGAACGGCCCACCCTCCAGGAGGTGCCTGGAGAGTAAGTGTAGGCTGATGACTGTGTTTGAGCGGGCAGAGTCACGTGTCCCTTAACTCAACACAAAGAAGCACAGAAGGAGTTGCCGGGTAAAACCATGAAAAAGTATCATGTAAGTATCATAAAGCAGATATGAGAATTATTTTCTCTTTTAAGAGATAAGAGAATGAAAAATCTTTTGGTGTATTCTGTAATGTGGTTAGTTAAGCTTGTTTTAATTATTTAATATAGAAACTGTATAGACAATTTATAAAACTTTTCAATTATTCAACAAATTTTAATAAGACTGAGATCAAATCCAGGGCTATATTTATACATACTTAAGTAGTCACCCATAAACTATAATGTGAAAGACATACAGTAATATACCTACCAAGTCTCTACAATGTACACCCCTCAAAAAATAGTCCACAGCTTAAAATTTTAAATTGTAAATCTTCATGCTTTCCTAGCAGCCCTAGTGGTGCAGTGGTTAATGCCCTAGGCTGCTGAGGTGTATCCCACACATTTTCTGCTCCACAGGAGAATGATGTGCCAGTCTGCTTCGGGTGAAGATGCCCAGCCTTGCAAAGCCCATGGGGATATTCTACTGTGTCCTATAGGCTTTCTAAGAATCAGAATCAACTTGATGGCAGTGGGTTTATTTCAGGTATTTTCCTAATTTGTAAATATCTTTCTATAATAATAATAATAAAATAAGGAGAAATAATTCAATTCCTCTTGAGTTGCTATTACTTCAAGAAAATTGCCTGCTTTAGATCTAAATGAGGCAAATTACTCTCAATTGAGTGTAATCTGATGATTAAGGAAACAGAAGGTTGTTTTTTTTTTTTTTTCCCCTCTTGAAGCTTTGCACAGAAGGAGCAAAATGTTTCACTGAGACCATTTTTGCCTGGTGTGTTTGGTGGGGAAGTGAGAAAATGACAGCAAGGATGCCAATCCTTCGTGACTTTATAGTCTTTCCTACGTTATTTCTTTTTTGTGGCTCCCAAGCTTTGGATGAGAATTAGTTCTTAGATAAACTATATCAAAGAATAAGTCATTACATTATAAACGTGTCATTTTACTCATATAAAACAGAATAATTAATACATTAATTTCATCTAACAATGGCAAAATTAGAATTTAAATAAAGGAAAAAAGATTGCGGGGAGATGGAAAACCTCGAGATTTTTGAAAACAAGTAATGGTTTTCCTTTCCTTGTACAAGTTGTTCATTAGTGTGGGAGGCTAGCTAAGATGAGGATCTCTTTTGAGGGTAGAACATTCATTAAAAAAAAAAAAAAAAAGTTTTGGTTATTTATACATTTCTGGAGAAAGCTTCATAAATGTGTAATAAAGTAAGTGTATGTATCAAGCTGTAGCTGCACAACGTTTGCTCGGTACTTTCTTAGCATCATCATCATAGCTGTGCCAGGCCTGTACCATTTCCCTCAACAGAGTTTTTCATTCATTTGCATCAGTTTTTCTGTGTAAGTGTCCAGCACGTTGTGATGGTTCCTTTAAACCAAGGTGGACCTTGCCTTAGTCCATGAGGCAATTTAACAAGACACATATCTGTAAGAAAAGAGGATTTTATTTATTTATTTTTTCAGACCCAGAGGACACATGTTATTTTCAGGAAGTATTTTAAAGCAAACTGAGTGAAAAAGCATTCATTTAACCGACTAATTGGTGTCTCCTGGGCAGATACATTTTCATTTGGTGATGGAAAAATAGCAAGTACTCTAGAGACTCTGTTTTTAGATTGGAAATATTTTCATGTTGTTGTTGTTGTTATGTGCCGTCGAGTCGGCCCCGACACATAGCGACCCCTCCTTGGGTTTCCGAGGCAGTATCACTACAGAAGTAGGATTGCCCAACCTTCCTTCCAAGGAGTGGCTGGTGGATTTGAACCGCCAGCCGTCTGGTTAACAGGCAAGTGACTTAGCCACTATGCTACCAGAGCTCCAAATATTTTCATAGATAATTTTATAAACAACTAATGCTGGTTGAGGACTAAACCAAGAAAATAAAAATAAAAATAAACACTGGTTGAGGACTAGCAGCAGTTATTGCTCCATTAACAGAGAATCTGAAGAATACATATAATGGTCACACACACAGAATTCACTGCCATTGAGTCGATTCTGACTCAAAATGACCACCATTGGGTTTCCAAGGAGGTTAATCTTTATGGAAGTGGATTGCCTGGTCTTCCTTCTGTAGAGTGGCTAGTGGATTTGAACTGCCATCCTTCTGGTAAGCAGTCAAATGCCTTAGTCACTATGCCACCAGAGCTCCTTATAAGATTTATATTGCAGGGATAAGAAGTCAGCTAATGTTTTAGCAATCACACATTTGTGTCTGAAATTAATATGTAAATGAATACATTAAGTGATTGTATGTGCTATACGACATAAAGGATAATAAGGAAGTGTAAGGGGGTATAGGTGATGATGTCAGAAATGGGAAAGAAATGGTCCCTAATTGCCTAGGTGGTTCTCAAAATTTAATATATATGTGACAAATATTTCTCCTCTAGCAGTCATCCCAACCTCACTGTCTGAGTATAAGTTATTATCTGTATTTGTGATAAGCTTTCTCGATAATTCCAATTCAGAGGGTGTCACACATTGAATATCTTGTCAAATGCAGTGTTTCTGGAAGAAAAGAAGGAAGAGGAGGAGCAAGAGAAGAATAAGGAGGGGAAGGAGGAGGAAAAGTGGGAGAAGAAGGAGGAGAAAGAGAAAGTGGTGGAGGAAAAGGAAGAAAAATATTTAATAAATAACTCCAGTGAGAATTGTAGTAAAATTGATTATGGTACATAGCAGAAACTGTATGAAAGTATTCTTTCTAAAATATTTTGTCTCACTTTTCTATAGCCATGTGGAAGCAGGTCCTGACAGACATAAGGAACATGCTCTAACAAGAGGAGGTGACAAAAGGATGCAGAGTGGCTCCATTCTTTGGGAAGAGTGGACCAAGAGAGTGTCAGAGTAAGCATTCTACACAACCAGGGCCCACAGCCAGTATGTCCTGAGAAGTCAGGGAGAAGGAGGTTTGGGGTTTATGTGGGAATAATGAGAACGAAGGCTATGGGGCAAATCTCTCCTTTGTCAAAATTTTGCCTAGCCTGCATTTGGGGAAAAAAAAAAAAAAAAAATTGTGGAGAGGATGAAACCTACTAAATTAAGAGAATGAGAGGATTCTTGTCTTCTGAAAGAAGTACAGATATATTCTCTATTTTCCCTTACTCAATGAAATATGAAGACTGAAAAAAAAAAATCAAATGTGATATTGTTTGCTGCAGAAAAAAAGAGAAGGGAGGTTGCTTAAATTTAAAGTATGGTAAAAAGATTACGTTAGGAAGTAGAAAGAGTAGGAAAAGGGCAAACTACAGGTCAAATGAGTAAGTAAATTTTATCTTGAAGACTCACTGAAGTAACATTCTATCTTGTGGCATAATGCCCAAGGCCTTTGACTGTTAACCAGAAGGCTGGCAGTTCAAACCCACCAGCCACTTCCGTAGTGATACAGCCTTGGAAACCCAAGGAGGGGTTGCTATGAGTCGTATATGACTCGATGACAGTGAGTTCTCTAACATACCTTATTGGGTTAATAACTGTAGTTGTGATTCACTAATAGCCTGTTCACAAGGGTGTCTATTGACTCTGTTCCATTTTTTTCTAATTACATTTACTATGTTTGTCAGACATAGGAGAAATAAGATTGTATAAAATATAGGCTGTACTTCAAAGAAATTTATAGAAACATTGCAGATTATAACACAATGTAATACATTCTAAAATATGGTAATGAGCAGGTGTTTAAAAAAAAAAAAAAAACAGGAACATAATCTCACATCGTTGAGATGGGTAAATGAAGTCCTCCTGAAAGAAGTGATACCTACAGAGAATCATGAAAAATCAATAGATATCAGCCAGGAGGATAGGAGGAATTGCTGTGTAGTTGTTGTTGTTGTTACGTACCGTCGAGTAGGACCTGACTCATAGCGACCCCTCCATGGGTTTCCAAGGTGGTGTCACTATGGAAGTAGATTGCCCAACCTTCCTTCCGAGGAGTGGCTGGGGGAGGGTTTGAACCACCAGTCTTCTGGTTAGCAGTCAAGTGCCTTAGGCACTATGCTACCAGAACAGAGGAAACAATATATAGAAAATCTGAATAAATGAATGTAGTCAGTGTTATTGTAACTTAAAATATGAAGAATAAAGCTAAGTAATGGAAAGAGATGAAGTAGGAAAATCAAAGACAGACCTGTGCAGAAAGAGCCTTGCAGGCTATGTAAAAGATGATGCTTTAACAAGAAATAGTTAATACTGGAAGAAAAAGAGGCTTGCAGGGCAGGAATAGGGGCATGATTTCACTGTGAAAAAGTGAAATATGGGGAGATTTTGAACATCCAATTGATGTTGTACACTCAGCAATAGTATCTGTGGAAAAAAGTCCAGTCTTTGAAATCCATCATATAAATAATAATCTAATCAATTGGACAGGGAAATATCACCCTTTAATAGCATAGATTAGGAAGTATGAAAAATATAAAACATGAAGGGAGAGGTCTGAAGATAGACTAGTAGAGAACATCAATAAATTCTAGATGAATAGAGAAAAATGAGCTGGTGTAGCTCATTGGGGGAAAAAAAAGTCTTTAGATTGGAGGAAAACAGGAATGATGACATGGAACCCATTTGATGAACAACTGAACTTTACAGGAAAGAAAACAATGTTGTGAGAATGTGAGGCACAATAAAAACTAAAATGTATTATTGGCTCCAAGAATAATGAAGTCTTTATAGACATTGGGGCTGAGTGGTGGCATAGTGCCTGACGCATTTGATTGCTAACCAGAAGGCTGGTAGTTCAAACCCACCAGCCACTCCTCAGAAGAAAGATTGGGCAAGCTACTTCCATAGTGATACCACCTCAAAAACTCAAGGAGGGGTCACTATGAGTCGGATCTGACTCGACGACAGTGAGTTTGGTTTTTTTAATTTTTTGTAGATGTTGGGAAAGGGGTTGGGGATTGAAAAGAGAGTCAGCTTGATGTGGATCAAAACCTAAATTGAGTAGGAATAAGATAAGAAAGGAAAGACACTAATGTGTTTTCAATAGAAATAAAAACAATGAAAAATAAAACACAGCCTGGAAGAAAATGTTCTGTGATACTAAATGTAGTTTTAGATTCAGGGCCTTTTAGAGGAAAGGGACTAGAGTCAATTAACTGAAATATAACATGAAAGTATATGAGGATATTATGTTAGGTAAACATATTTTCTTCCCAAACCAAGACAAACCCTCTGTAGTCATGTTGATTGTGAGTTATAGTAGCCCTATTAGAACAAAGTAGAACTGACCAACAGTTTCCAAAGCTTCGGATCCTTACAGAAGCAGACTGCCACATCTTCCTGCCATGAAGCAACTGATGAATTTAAACCAAAGACATTTAGTTAGAAGCCAAATGCTTTAACTACTTCACCACCAGGGCTTCATAGGTAAAACAGTCATATATCAATCCATCTACAGCTTCTATCTTGTTAAGAATAAGGAATATGGAATATAAGCAGAGAGGAATAAAAAGACAAGGGAACGTCACGGGGCCAATGTTGTGTTTTGTTTTTGTCGCTATTTACTTGTTTTCCATGACAAATGAATCTTATCCTTAATAAAAGCCTTTGATATCAACTAAAGAGTATTCACATTCTTTGTAACCTACGTATATTCTATATCCAGGATTTTTCTTGGACAAAAGGACTTTTGTATCCAGGAAATGACATAATCTTTTCTCAACCTTATTTGTAAATCCAATACATGTAATGAATTATAGATTACAAGTTATATTTATAAATTCTGCGTGTCAAGGAATTATAAAAAAAAGTTAGATTGTTTTACAGTAAGGCAAATCCTTAGGAAATCTCTGGTGTCCATGTCACGTGTATAATTCAGGAAGGCTATTGGAATTGTTCAACATTGATTATGATGTGAAGGGAGAAAATAAATGTATTTAAGCTTGTTTGATTTTTTATATGCAGGACCCTATACTATAGAATTTGAATATCTACCTCCTGCTAAAATTTCTATGATTTTTACATACAGATTGAGTAGCCATCAAGAATCAACAATGAAAAATCACACAGTTATAACAACTTTCATCCTGTTGGGACTGACAGATGACCCACAGGTGAAAACTCTTTTTATCTTTCTGTTTCTCACCTACATACTGAGTGTAACAGGGAACCTGATTATTATTACCCTCACATTGGTGGATTCCCACCTTAAAACTCCTATGTACTTTTTTCTAAGAAATTTCTCCTTTTTAGAAGTCTCGTTCACCACTGTCTGTATTCCAAGATTCCTGTACAGTATATCAACTGGGGACAATACTGTAACATACAACACCTGTGCAAGTCAAATATTTTTTGTTATTCTCTTTGGAGCAACAGAATTTTTTCTGCTGGCAGCCATGTCCTATGACCGCTATGTGGCAATCTGTAAACCCCTTCATTACATGACCATCATGAGCAACAGGGTCTGTACCTTATTAATCCTCTGTTGTTGGATGGCTGGCTTGATGATTATTCTTCCTCCTCTTATCTTGGGTCTGCAGCTGGAATTCTGTGATTCCAATGCCATTGATCATTTTAGCTGTGATGCAGGTCCCCTCCTAAAGATCTCATGCTCAGACACGTGGTTATTAGAGCAGTTGATTATACTTGTGGCTGTATTTGCCCTCATTATCACTCTAGTGTGTGTGTTTCTGTCCTATGCATACATCATCAGGACAATTCTGAAATTCCCCTCTGTCCAGCAAAGAAAAAATGCCTTTTCTACCTGCTCATCCCACATGGTTGTGGTTTCCATCGCTTATGGAAGCTGTATCTTCATCTACGTCAAGCCATCAGCAAAGGAAGAAGTGGCCATAAATAAAGGAGTTTCAGTGCTCACCACTTCTGTCGCTCCCTTGTTGAACCCCTTCATCTACACCCTGAGGAACAAGCAAGTGAAACAAGCATTCAATGACTCCATAAAGAGGATTGCATTTCTCTCAAA